ACGACTACCAAGTCAAACCAGACAAAATTAGGCCAGTTCTACTTATCGAACCGCACACTGTCCAATAGTTCCGTAACAATCAGGCTCACCTCCAGACAAGCCAATCAGAAAAGAGACTTAAATAGAATATGAGTAAATCCACCCAATCGCAATTGAATTAAGAGTTCTCAACGCTCAAGAGATGGAAAACTCACACGACTTCGTGAAGCCGACCCCGAGGAGGGCCGACTAGGGGGGTTTCCAGAAACATCCAGTATGGAGGATTGTTCATGCGACGGCGTGCCATTTTCGCTTCCTCCACCGGCTGAGGCGTCGTGTTGCAGTGCAGTGTATATTTCACTTAAGAAGTACTGATGGAAGGGTGAAAGAAAATGAACTCAGAATGAGCTACCAATGCAAAGGGGCAATTGGGAGCTTATGAGTGGCCCAAGCAGTCGTTTGACGCAAAAATAAAGACATGTAGCATGAATAAAAGATGCAGCAAGGACAACACTAAGATGTAAATGAGGGACACCCAAAGATCCGTCTTGTGGGTCGCTTCCAACTCCCTTCCCTACAGTGCCATCCTCATACACCACGGCTGCTTTGCTAGCAGGCATCGTCAAAATTACAGCCGAATTTCAACTATCTACGCACTTGATCATCAACAGCAGTCACTGCTGGTTCTTTATTTGCGGTCTTGGCTTGTTCTTCGGGCTTGGGCACCACTTTGTCGAATTCGTCACCGGGACGGTATTTAGTCAGATTCTGTTCCAACAAACCAATCTTGTTCAGGCTATCCCAACCGGCAGGACTAAAATGCACAAAATAAGATTGCTCTGCAGATTCCCCGTTAATCAAACACAAGACTTGTCAGAGCTAAACTCGAGGTCGTGCAACGATGTTACTGAGGCAGCTAAAATGGAAAGTCGTTCTGGAGAGATAATTGACACAATCACTCAGGAGGTTGATACACGGTGAATATCAAGACGGACAAGAGTAATTCAACTGCTCGGACAAACTCCCCTCAGGACAAAAACTCCTTTCAATGAATCAGTAAACTAAGACCTGTGTTGGAACAACCGTTTGGGAATGAAGGTAAAAGATAATTTGGGGAAATAAATAAGAAGGGAAGAGCTGGT